AATAGAGGTCCATACATACAGTGTATGTCTATATACCTGTATTAGCTTCTGTAGTGAAGCAGTATTGATTTCCTCCTTATTCTGTGCTTTCCAGTTTGCTCATGCATACAGTATACACTCACCAGCCACTTTATTAGGTACACCTGTTCAATTGCTTGGTAAGACAAATTGTTAATCAGCCAATCACATTGCAGGAACTAAATGCATTTAGGCATGTAGATATGATGAAGACGACTCTCGGTAGTTCAAACTGAGCATCAGAATGGGGAAGAAAGGGGATTTAAGAGACTTCGAACATGGCATGGTTGTTGGTGCTAGATGGGCTGGTCTGAGTATTTAAAAAACTGCCGATCTACTGGGATTTTTATGCGCAACCATCTCTAGGGTTTACAGAGAATGGTCCAAAAAAGAGAAAATATCCAGAGAGTGGCAGTTGTGTGGATGAAAATGCCTTGGTTATGTCAGAGGTCAGAGGAGAATGGACAGACTGGTTCAAGATGATAGATAGATAGATAGATAGATAGATAGATAGATAGATAGATAGATAGATAGATAGATAGATAAATAGATAGAAAGGCAACAGTAGCAACCACTCGTTACAATCAAGGTATGCAGAATACCATCTCTGAACGCACAGCACATTGAACCTTGAAGCAGATGGGCGGCAGTATAGGAGCACATCGGGTGCCACTCCTGTCAGCTAAGAACAGGAAACAAAGGCTACAATTCGCACAGGCTCATCAAAATGGACAATAAAAGATTGGAAAAATGTTGCATGGTCTGATGAGTCTCGATTTCAGCTGCAACATTCAGAATTTGGTGTAAACTACATTAAAGCATGGATCTATTCTGCCTTGTATCAACAGTTCAGGCTGGTGGTGGTGTAATGGTGTGGGAGATATTTTCTTGGCACACTTTGGGCCCCTTAGTACCAACTGAGCATCGTTTAAATGCCATGGCCTACCTGAGTATTGTTGCTGACCATGTTCATCCCTTTATGACTACAGTGTACCCATCTAATGGCTTCTTCCAGCAGGAAAATGCACCATGTCACAAAGCTCAAATCATCTCAAACTGGCTTCTTGAACAGGACAATGAGTTCACTGTACTCCAATAGCCTCCACAGTCACCAGATCTCAATCCAATTGAGCACCTTTGGGATGTGGTAAAACAGGAAATTCACATCATGGATGTGCAGCCAACAAATCTGCAGCAACTGCATGGTGCAATCATGTCAATATGGACCAAACTCTCTGAGGAATGTTTCTAACACCTTGTTGAATCTATGCCATGAAGAATTAAGGTAGTTCTGAAGGCAAAAGGGGGTTCATACTAGCAAGGTGTTCCTAAAAAAGTGACCGGTGAGTGTATGTCTAAATATATGTATTAGCTTCTCCAGTGAAGCAGTATTGATCTCTTCCTTATTCTGCTTTCCGGCTTATCTGCTGCTCCCTAAATAGAAGCCCAATTTGTGGGCGTTATTACAATTGAACTCATGCACACAATTTCTCTATTCCCTACCCTCTGCCTTTTTATTTGTTGCCATTTGTACTGGTTTAAATGCCTCTTCTCAAGGAAGAATCAGTTAGGTCCGTTCAGGTGAAGTCCTCTATGACCCTTATGAACTTAGTTGCCATTTTCTGCACTCTTTCTAGTTTTAGGACATCCTTTCTGGCAACAAAGGCCCAAAACTGAACATCAAAAGCAGTAATTCAAGAAGAGGCCATAAAGCTTAAAGCTTTCTATGAAAATTTTTCTCTTTAAACAAAATTGGACTCTTTTGTACTTTATTTGATGAGCTGATGAAAAAGCTGCTCCTGGGAGCCACAGTAGGGTGTTCTGGGCAAATTAGAAGAAAAGCAGCTTATTTAGCCTGATACAGATGTCTTCCACTTCTCCAGGATACGGGTACCACAAACCTGCTTTTCTATGGTGCTCCATCGGTCGCAGAGACACAGGGGCGGACTGACAACTCATGGGCCCCCCGGGCAATAGGGGATCATGGGGCCCCTGTGTCCTTGCCCAAACTCAAAAAAGCCTATGAAAAAGGTACCAGGGGCATCTCATGGGGCCACCTACTAACCCCGGGCCCTTGGGCAGTGCCCGAGTTTCCAAATGGTCAGTCCAAACCCTGCAGGGACATTATCAGGTACAATGCAAGACTAGCAGTCCTGCAGTATTAGTAAGGAGGCTAAGGGCCCACCTACAGCTCAGAGTACTGGAGGGTAGAGGAGAGTAACGACTGTTAGGGGAGTGTGGGACAGGGTAAGTACAGCTGCATTTTAAATTGGAGTTAAAAAAAAAAAAAATATTTTTTTTTTTTTGCTACCTTAGACAAAAAACAACATGAGAAATGTCCATGGCGTCCAAAAAGTGTCCCTTTAGGTCAAAAAGCGGTTTAGATCAGCTAGAGAACAGTGATAGTAAATCAGAACCACTTGCAGAATTGAGTGATAATGATTCGTGGGGAAATTCGTCATCAGAAACTGAAAACGATTTTGCGACTGAGCTCAGCGATGTGCGAACTTGGCGCTCTATTTCACATTTCAGTGTTTTTGGTTTGATTATATTATTGAATTACATTTTTTATTATTTTTATATTATTTTTTGATGATTATTTTATTAAATTATAATTTATGATTTTGTGTTTCAAATTTTATCATACCCGGGATGTTTACTAGACTCTTGTTCGGACACAGATTTCAGTGAGTTTTTTCCTAAAAATACAGCCTACAATAAAAAAAAATACATATTTCCATGCAAAAAAATGGTAATGTTAGCTTTCAGCACCAAAAATCTGAAATAATCATACCGCCAGGGAGGTTAAGTGTGCTTCCTCCCCCACTCCTATCACAATACAAGGGTAATTTTAATTCTTCCCAGATTTTAGCCTTAGTTATTCTTTCAGTTCATCTACATACTCTTTTTCTACACAACTGGCCATAATTTACACATTAGATGTCTGTGAAGAATCAAATACTTTGGCAAACCCAAATTCATTATATTGAGACCCATTTCTCTGTTGAAGCAGAACTCCAGCTTCCCTGAGTTCCATTTTAATATGATCAAATGTACTGTACCTATATTCTTTGGATAACAATCCAAATCTTATATATCAACACAGCATAAACTCCAATAATCTATAGAGAACATTTTAAAAAACATACTGATGTGAGATAAGAAAAACAGTGAAATTTGGTTACAATGATCTTTGCACATTTCGAATGTACTTTTGTACTGCCTACAGAGGTAATACACCCCAAACCAAAAACGGAATATATTGCAGCTTACCAATCATTAGATGTAGTGGCTGCATTAGCTTTTTTGTTAGACTTTTTTGCCCTGTGCTTTCATCTGGTGATCAGGTCAGTAACACCACTCCTGTATTAGAATACCCCCACTCTGGATGAAGGAGCACAAAGGACACCTTTGAGCAGCAGCATTGTTAATCTGGAGAGATGTGAGATGTACTGGCAGATGTTTTCCTTTGGGATAAAGGTTTTACATACATAAATAAAAGCTGATCATTGTAAGCACCCCTGACCGTGTTAAATGGTTTGCCTCATCCCTCTAACTCAGCCTTTTGCACACAGGGTGCCCACAGGGTGCCTTGAGGTTTCTTCAGGGTGCCTTGGCAAAATGTCTAAAAGTTGCACAAAATGTGTATACAAGCCAGTGGTTGGAACAAGCCTGCCTTTTTGTTACACAAAGCCACAGGTTTTTATTGTGCGCCATTATGACCTTCTAGCCACCGTCATCCTAACAACCAATGACATCATCAGCTGATAAGGAGGATGTCAGTTGCCTGCACAGCATCCTTGTTTGACCCTCCCCTGCCCTTCTCCGTCAGCGCTGGAGTCACATTAGCTCAATGATGGAGTAAAACTGAGAGAATCACTGGAATACTAGTCAGGACCAGTGTGAAAAAGTGTATTTGATTTGGAAGAATTAATCACCTCTAGCGTTGGGTGTCCTACGTGTGGATGTTGCTGCGTTGTATAAAACTATTAGAATAGTGTTTTACATTTTAGAATGGGGTGCCACAAGACTGTCCATAGTTTTAAAGGGTGCCTCAAGACTGTCCATAGTTTTAAAGGGTGCCTCAAGACTGTCCATAGTTTTAAAGGGTGCCTTGACTGAAAAAAAGTTGAGAAACACTACTCTAACTGCTACATTTTGCAAGAGAACTTGTTCTTTTGAAAAACAGCAGACTTACTGGCCAGATCACCAGGTGAAAATAAGGGAAAGAAAGCCTAAAAAAGAAAAATAATGAAGCCACCACATCTAAGAATTAGTAATCTGCAATATGATAAATGTTTGATTTTGGGTTTAATACTATTTATAAAGTGTAGGATAAGGCATTGCGTAAAAGATTTAAGTAAAGAAACTCTGTGCTAATGCATTAGAAGCCATTTTATATACATTGTTATAGTTTTTTTTTTATACGATTGTTTTCTAAAATCTTGTCATTGAATATCCATTATTTGTTGCCCTCACAACCCATGTAATGTGTTACTTTGATTGATAGCAGAATTTAGTGTCTGACATACTGAGAATACTAGCTGCAGAGCATTAATGTAAAACATAAGGCATATTGGTTGGTGGTAAGACTCGCTAGATGAGAAGAAACTGCCTTGGCCTCCTAAATAAACTTACACATTTTTAGTGTTTCCATAGCCATCCAGTTTTGAATATTGGAGATATTTATGAATTCTAATCATGGGCCTTATGCTCATGAATCATGTCTTCCAGAATTTGATGTATCATAGTAACTACACTGTCCAAATCACTGACTGCTGTCTTGCTGTATTTAGTAACATTCTTCAATGGTGTTTATACAGGAATTTATCCTTTAACGACATGAATCACCTTTTTCTGTCTCATTTGCATATCATTAAAGCTACTAGAACAGTAGATATACCAACAATTTCTAAAACTAGGGGATGATGATATTGTTCTATTTCTACAGTACTTGAAAGGTTGAGGAGATCTCCCTCAGCATTCACACAATGATATCAGGCTATTCTAATAATTCCTCTACATTCATTTCTTTTGTAGAAACGGATCATGCTAGAAAATGTAGACCACAGTTCTCCATAGACACAATAGCACTGCTCTAGGTCAGCCTTTCTCAACCAGGGTACCCAGGTACCCTGGGGTGCCTTGAGGTTTCTTCAGGGGTGCCTTGGCAAAATGTCTAAAAATTGTCCAAAACTTGTATACAAGCCAGTGGGTGGAACAAGCCTGCCTTTTAGTTATACAAAGCCACAAGATTTCACTGTGCACCATTACGACCTTCTAGCCGCTGGGGTCCTGACAATCAATGACATCATCAGTTGATAAGGAGAATGTCAGTTGCCTGCACAGCATCCTAGTTTGACCCTCCCCTGCCCCTCTTTATCAGTGCTGGAGTCACATTAGCTTGGTGATGGATTTAGTAACATTCTTCAATGGTGTTTATACAGGAATACATCCTTTAATGATATGAATCACCTTTTTCTGTCTCATTTGCATATCATTAAAGCTATTAGAACAGTAGATAAACCAACAATTTCTAAAACTAAGGGATGATGATATTGTCCTATTTCTACAGTACTTGAAAGGCTGAGGAGATCTCCCTCAGCATTCACACAATGACATCAGGCTATTCTAGTAATTCATCTACATTCATTTCTGTTGTAGAAACGGATCATGTTAGAAAATTTAGACCACAGTTCTCCATAGACACAAGAGCAGTGCTCTAGGTCAGCCTTTCTCAACCAGGGTGTGCAGGCACCCTGGAGTGCCTTGAGGTTTCTTCATGGGTGCCTTGGCAAAATGTCTAAAAATTGTCCAAAACTTGTATACAAGCCAGCGTGTGGAACAAGCCTGCCTTTTAGTTACACAAAGCCGCAAGTTTTGATTGTGCACCATTACAACCTTCTAGCCACTGGCGTCCTGATAACTAATGACATCATCAGTTGATAAGGAGGATGTCAGCTGCCTGCACAGCATCCTAGTTTGACCCTCCCCTGCCCCTCTCCATCAGTGCTGGGGGTCAAATTAGCTTGGTGATGAATAAAAACTGAGGGAGAAGAGAAACACTGTAATACTAGTCAGTACCAGTGTGAAAAAGTGTATTTGCTTTAGAAGAATAAATACCCTCTAACATTGGGTGCCGTACATGTGTGGATGTTGCTGCGTTATATAAAAGTATTACAATAGTTTTCACATTTTAGAATGGGGTGCCCTTTTAAAATTATGGACAGTCTTAAGGCACCCTGTTTTAGAATGGGGTGCGTCAAGACTGTCCATAATTTTAAAGGGTGCCTTGGGACTGTCCATATTTTTAAAGGGTTCCTTGACTGAAAAACAATTGAGAAATACTGCTCTAGGTTATATGTTTTTTTCATGTTCCACTATATAAAAGAAGAGGAACCACTAATGGAAGACTAAGAATATTTTTGTGTTTCCTCAAAATTTCTTCTTTGGTTTTGAGTACATTACAGGAAAAATTTCCTCCAAGAAAAACAACAGTGAATATTACATCTGCTAACTAGACTGCAGTTAGTTTGTTTATATAAGTAGAGATTTTCTTCCCTGCCAGGGGAGGACTGAACTAAGGTACAGGAAAGGATGGGTGGACATTTATCCCTAGTCCAATCCTAATTGGGATAGTGGCTCTGAGATATTAACTGGAGTAGCACTGGTAGTGACACATGGTGAGAATTATAGGTTCCTGGTCCCATTCAGACCTGTTATCCCAGCATCTACCAGATGGAAGTCTCCTCCAGCACCGGCTTCTATTCCTCTGAAGTTTAGGTGTCCGTTTATGAACCAGCAGTAATAGATCGCTGCTCAGTTCTCCGGAATTCTCAGAGAACACAGTTCTCCTGTGAATGCAGTTTATGAAGCATATGTAGATCAGTTCTCCAAACGAAGGGAGAACGGTCTACATACGCTGGAAAACGGCTGATTTTACTATAATCTCGCGAGATTACAGTAAAAGATCAGTTTACTAAGCAGAGGTAAATTATCGCTGCTTAGTTTGCGGTCCCTCCGATTCTCCAGCTTCTGGGCTGGAGAATCTGGAGGGAGAACACAGATCTCCAGAGAGGGGCTAAACATATTCTCCTGGGTGTCATAAACTGTGAATGACCAGAGAATAGCTGTGATCCTCTGAATCACAGCTATTCTGTGTGTCATAAACGGACACCTTAATGTGACCAAATGCCAAGAGCCAAAACGGAAGCAGATGCTGGAAGATGCGAAAAAGTGTTTTCCAATAAGCCATCCAATAGGAAAACCCACGTTTTCCCATGCCCTCCACTGTGACACCATGGCACACTTTCTTTTGCCCATGAAAATATGTCCCTACCATGAAAGGGCCCACATGGTTGTATCTGCCCCCAGTCCTTCCCTGGCCCCTCTTCTTCCCTCACACACACCTAGATACTCCTCTGGCCACCACCAAAGTAAAACATAGCCAGATCTTTACTGAAAAAGGCATAACACAAAACTCAGAAATTTTTACATGTGATATATACAGTATATATGGCAGGACAGTTTTTGTATGTGGTTAAAAAGGTATCGACCTTACTGTGATGCAGACCTAATAGCAAAGTTGATTCATCATATTTAAATCCCCTTGATGAAACAGCCCTCAGACCAAGAGAAGCCCCTGAGTTTTGTGTTTCTGCTGTGTAAAAAATACAGCATGCACACCGCGCAAAAAACGTGATTTACTGCATGTATAGACAAGGCTTTAAGTTGGTATTCCCTGTGGACAACCCATTGTTTTCTAACCAGGTCAGAAGTTGTTCATTGCACAGAGGGCAGTGTGAAGCCAGCAGAGATTGGCAGCTTCCATTAGTCAGATCTGCACACATTGTAAGCAGAGAACTGTAGGTTGACTGGCAACATCTGAGTGCACGGGTAGGCATGCTTCTCTATTCGGAACTGTGCCTTACAATAACGGTACTATATTTATAATGATGGCTAAACTAGCTCACCCCATGAATACATATTTTTGTAATGAGCAAATCAGCTCTTGCTCAGCCATATAATTAAGATTCAAAACAGTTGACTCTTAAAACAGATTTTTTTTTTATTAAGTTTGTCAAAGAGTGGCAAAGTGACAAATAAAATGGCTAAAACTGTAATTTAATATAGGTTCTGTAAACTAAGCAGAATGAGTTATTTTAATTGCATTTGTTACTTTACCCCACGATAGTTTTCCCATCATAAAGTTCAATTCAGGATCAAAAACAGGAAATAAGTAAATCATTGGTATTTTTTTTCTATCATTAAATTAGAATTTAACTACAGATGGTCTGTTTCTTATGAATTAGTATTTTATCTCACAAATCAACATTTTATGTTCAACTTTAATGACTTTTGCTTCCTCAACAGACACCTCCAAGAACCATCAGAAACTATGTGATAAAATGAATGAACTGACCATATGCAATCTGCTCCAAAAATATGGTATGCCAATCTGTTCTACACTTACACACATACATTATGATTTATAGAGATAAGAATTGAATCTATAGATCCACAAAATGAATATGTCTGCAAAATTAAAACATTTTCGACCCCAGCTGTGCAGACGATTTAATAGTCTTTACACCAGAGGTTAAGTTCTGGTGTGGTGTCCTCAACATATGAATGCTTCATTGCATACGAAATCTGAAAGGAAATTTTAGTTACATTTCTGTCACTGTACATTATGTTCAGGGCTGAATTTATATTTTACTCCATTTGACTGGCTAGCCTCTAGACATATGCAAATCGAAAAAATGTGTTTCATTTCGGATCAATTTGTTAAGTTACTAATTTTTTTTTTTGTTTAGTTTAGTTTTGTTGTGTTGATTCGTTTTCAACTAGATTCAATTTCCCAATGGGTTTGAAGTATTCAAAATGAATTTGAACCGAATTGAAATTAAAAAATATCAAATTGCTCCAAATTCATTGTGGTTCTATTCTTTACAAAATTAGAAATTTGAATTTTGGAAGATGGTTATATTCTTTCTATTTTATTCTATTCTATTTTTTATGTTATATTATTTTCTATTCTATTCTTTTATTTTCTAATCTATTTTATTCCTTTATTTTCTATTCTGTTTCACTTTATTCTATTATTTTATTATCTATTCTATTTCTTTTTACTCTGTTCTATTCTGTTTTATTCTATTCTGTTAAAAATTCAAATTTCGGAAGATGGCTATATTCCAATTCTATTCTATTCAAATCTATTCTATTTTTTCTATTCAAATCTATTCTATTCTATTATTTTCTATTCTATTCTTTACTGTTTTATTCTGTTATTTTTTACTCTATTCTGTTTTATTCTATTCTGTTCGAAATTCGAATTTCAGAAGATGGCTATATTCTATTCTCTTCTATTCTTTTCTATTCTATTATTTTCTATCCTATTCTGTTCTATTATACTCAAATCTATTCTATCCCTTTATTTTTCATTCTATTCTGTTATATTCTATTCTGTTTCATTCTATGCTATTCTTTTCAAAATTATAATTTCAGAGGACGGCTATAGTCTAACACTAATACACATATTCTTTGAAGGAAATCGGCAATAGTCAATAACATATTTATATTTCAAATTTTGTTTACTAATTGTATTTCATTTTCAAATTAGATTCAAATTTGATTTGTTTAAATTCATTGCTATTGTCATTTCGAAATTCGGATACATCCGAATCTCAGAATAATGAAAATTTGGATGTATCCAAATATCTGAATCACAATAGTAACAAATTTTAATGAATCCAAAATAAATTATAACGAACACAACTGAATCATTAATTTCATTCTGATTACATGATGTGATAGTTTGGGCCTTTTGATAATGTTTGAAGCATCCAAAATAACGTACTGATATAATTAATGATCCAAATTGATTCAGAACCTTTGGGGTTTTTTTGTTGTTTATAGGAGCAGCATGGTAGTCCTTTGTCTCTTGGATAATCAGCTGATTCTTTCTGCTTTTACAATTTTTCATTATTACTAAAAATGCACTACATATGAAATGGAAACATATTGCAACTAATACAGTAAGGTATAACAGTGAAATAAGATGACTCCTACTTATTGTGTTTGGGTTGAATGGAGGTGAATCTATCAGACTCTCTGAATCATAACATAATGAATTAATCCGAAATTAATATCATTCCATTCATTTAGTTACTCCAGTCAATATCGTCCAATCAGCTCATTCCATTTTTCTTTGTGGTTTGGACTAGCAGGGATGACTCAGACTGCATAAGTATTTTCCCGAAATAACAAATTAACACATTAAAACTAATGTAAACCAATCTTTTTCGAAATAACTTCCAAAAATACTAATCAATTCAGAACAAAAAATATTCGAAACAAATCCAAATATACAAAACAAATTTCGAAAAACTAATAATTCTAACATAGCTAATATGACTAAATGAAATGATTTACTTAACGAATGAATCTGAAATGAAAGGAATTTTTTCATCATGCACATCTCTACCTGACTGCCTTGACACAACCTTTGTTGGGTAGCCTCCCTAGCGGTCTGATTATGTCCATATTTCTGTGCTCAAAGCGGTACATTTTTTTTGCATGGAAATATGTCATTTTTTTATTGTAGGCTGTAATTTTTAGGAATAACTCACTGAAATCTGTCTGAACAAGAGTCTAGTAAACATTCCGGGTAATTTACAAATTTGAACAAGAAATCATAAATTATAATTTAATAAATAATCATAAAAATAATAATAATAATAAATTTAATTCAATAATATAATCAAACCAAAAACACTGAAATTTGAAATAGAGCGACAAGTTCGCACAGCACTGAGCAAAGTCGCAAAATCGTTTTCAGTGTCTGATGACGAATTTCCCCACCAATCATTATCACTCAATTCTGCAAGTAGTTCTGATTTACTATCGCTGTTCTCTAGCTGGTCTAAAACCGCTTTTGACCTAAAGGGACGCTTTTTGGACACCATGGACATTTCTCAGTTTCCAGGCAGAAAGAACAGTAAAAATGCAGGCAGGGCACAGGACAAAGCACTAGGGACAAAATGTATGTGAAATGGTTTGATAGAGTAATGTTTTACTATGTGATTTTAGTGTATATAGTGAATGTCACTTTTAAAATTTTAAAATTTCCCGCCAGTTCCGTCCCCGTACGTCCCGACGCTCGCAGGGAACGGAACCCGGAAGACAGATGCCGGCATCCGCTGTAGGACATTACAGGGGACACTGCAGGGGGGACATCACGGGAGCGCAGGACAAGGTAAGTGAAGAAGGGATTCCAGAGCAACGCTGCATGGTATTCCTGAGTGTAGCTCAGGGTTACTGCTTGTGGTGCTGAAACTTTACCCCGAGCTACACTCGGGAATACCTCCAGGGAGGTTAAGCAGAAATTTGACCGTGAAGCCATACAGAGGCTGGGGACAGGGTAATCATAAGAAGCAGTTTGCCCACTCCATGTCCAGGCATCTAGATGTACAAAGTGGGTGAACTGTAAGTACAGAGTACTATTGTATTATCAGAAATGCACAAACTATGCACGGTGCTATAACCATGAAGACCCAGCCAAATGTTACTGCCAGGCAGGGAAGCAGTCTAAACCTACAATAAACATGCACTGGCCACTTTATTAGGTACCCCTGTTCAATTGCTTGGTAACACAAATTGCTAATCAGCCAATCACATGGCAGCAACTCAATGCATTTAGGCATCTAGATGTTGTGAAGACGACTTGCTTGTTGTTTGTGCCAGACAGGTTGTCTGAGTATTTAAAAAACTACTGATCTACTGGGATTTTCACGCACGGCCATCTCTAGGGTTTACAGAGAATGTTCCAAAAAAGAAAAAATATCCAGTGAGTGGCAGTTTTGTGGACAAACATGTCTTGTTGAGGTCAGAGGAGAATGGGCAGACTGGTTGCTGTGACATTCAGATGGTAGGATCAGAACTTGGTGTAACCAACATGAAAGCATGGATCTATCCTGCCTTGGTTGGTTCAGGCTGGTGGTGGTGGTGTAATGGTGTGGGGCATATTTTCTTGGCACTAGCAAGGTGTACCTAATAAAGTGCCTGGTGAGTGTACATTTATTTATTTATTTATTTCAGTTACTTATCTAGTGCTGTCAATTTACACAGTGCTTTACATATACAGTATCTCACAGAAGTGAGTACACCCCTCACATTTTTGGAAATATTTTATTATATCTTTTCATGCGACAACACTGAAGAAATGCTTACATTTGCTACAATGTAAAGTAGTGAGTGTACAGCTTGTATAACAGTGTAAATTTGCTGTCCCCTCAAAATAACTCAACAAACAGACATTAATGTCTAAACCGCTGGCAACAAAAGTGAGTACACCCCTAAGGGAAAATGTCCAAATTGGGCCCAATTAGCCATTTTCCCTCCCCGGTGTCATGAGACTCGTTAGTGTTACAAGGTCTCAGGTATGATTGGGGAGCAGGTGTGTTACATTTGATGTTGTCGCTCCCACTCTCTCATACTGGTCACTGGAAGTTCAACATGGCACCTCATGGCAAAGAACTCTCTGAGTATCTGAAAAAAAGAATTATTGCTCTACATAAAGATGGCCTAGGCCATGAGGTGCCATGTTGAACTTCCAGTGACCAGTATAAGAGAGTGAGAGCGATAACACTAAATGTAACACACCTGCTCCCCATTCACACCTGAGCCCTTATATGGTTGGGATTCGAACCAACGACCCTAGCACTGCCAGACAGATGTGCTAACCCAGGGGTGTCAAACTGACGGCCCTCCAGCTGTTGCAAAACTACAAGTCCCATCATGCCTCTGCCTTTGGGAATCATGCTTGAAACTGTCAATCTTGCAATGCCTCATGGGACTTGTAGTTTGGCAACAGCTGGGGAGCCGCCAGTTTGACACCTGTGTGCTAACCATTTAGCCACTGTGCTGCCCCACGTGAGAATTTCCACATGACAAATTGCTATGACAGTAACATGATGGCTGGGTGGATTTTTGTGACTCTTGGCCCTCCTGTCATCCTAACTTACTGTATGTTGCCCATGCACAAATTCAGCCTCCAAAGTCATGCAGAAAGCATATAGGATGAGCATGACATACAGTAGATAAGAGACAACAGAACAGTGCCATGTTAGACATCAGATCGGTGTCTGCACCTATGTAAGGCAGTAGCATAAATTAATTGCTCCTTTGTACATAACTGTATAGCTGCTTCTACATAGAAAATAAAAATGAAGGATAATTCCAGCTAACCTGAAGTGAAAACTTTATCATGCAACAGGGATGCATCACTGCTCACTAAGTCCAATTTCTGTTGCGTGACCTAAAAACTCAGAATGCTGAGGGAATTCGCTCTGGAACATCCATGTGACCTGAGTGTCTAAGAAAATAATATGCAATAGGAAGATGCCACAAATAATTCAAATTTCTCTGGAGGAAGGGATTCTTTTTTCCGAACTCAGCACATTTCATAGCCTGATCGTTATTTTAGAGTTTGTCTCCTCATTATTGACTGTATAAGGTTTCCATGGTCACTGTGTCCTGAATAAAGAGTTAAATGGATTTTTTTTATTGTCTCAGGAAAAGGAAACACCACTTATTGTATTAGCAGCGACATAGTAACACTGAAAACAGCATTATTGGCTGAACTGAGAGATTTCCCTTGGTCCTATTGTCAGCTTCTTCAGAATCACTGCAGTCACTAGGACATGTAAGGTACATTAATAAATACTGGAAGCCTCTGAAGTTATACCTTTTAGCTCTAGTGACCCTGGTTTATTAAGAGAGGCTAACTCAGCATATATATATATATATATATATATATATATATATTTTTTTTATATATATATATATATATATATATATAGATATATATATATATATACACAGACACACACACACACACACACACACACACACACACAGACACACACACATATATATATATATATATATATATATATATATATAATTATTTTTATTATTATACAGGATTTATAAAGCGCCAACAGTTTGCGCAGCGCTTTACAATATAAGGGAGACAGTACAATTACAATATATTTCAGTACAGAAGGAATATATATATTCACTGCACTTTAATAGAAGGACACACACAAGCACTGAATCATGTTGGGTTTGGTTTATCCTTTTTTTTATATCATGAGAACATTGCAATGGATCATCATGAAAAATTCATGTAACATGACATATATTGATATTGGAATTAATATTCTCAACTGCCACCATATGTCAATGTGAAAAAGAAATGCCCCAGACAATATATACAGCTCAATGTAATCAGCCTGGTTCTCTCATTAATTTTCCAGTGCAATAAAGAAATAAAAAAAAAATCTAGTTGGCTGCTAAGGGCAATGTTGATTACCTTACTCATTGATAAATGAGGCCATTCAATTATAGCAAGAAGTCTGTACAGCAGAAAAAAACATCTTATCTCAGGCTAAAGGTCTTAAAGCAGAACTTTACTCTCTGAAATATTAGTTTTGGACAGACTTACCCTTTAATATTTGTTTGTAAACACATTTAAAGTTATAGGCTGTACTGTGTACACTGGTGGAATTGGACTACACATCAGACATCATGTGTAATTTTAGATATGGGAATGTAGGTATTTCAATAATAAAGCAGTTCTGAATGATAACCAGATAACCTTTTGTTTGTTAAAGCACTGTGTATTATAGCAAATTACCATTTTTTTTTTTCAAAAAGTACTGTTTTCACCTTTATTTTAAAGGAGAAATACAGCCACAGCTAGTTTGGCTTTACTTCTCCTAAGGATTACAGGTGTACAGTTTGTTCTGCACTCCTGTGACCCATTTGCATCTGACAATGGGCTAATGTCCACTGTCGGCTGACGTCACTGTACTTCTCCTATGGATCACAGGTGTACAGTTTGTTCTACACTCCTGTGACGCATTTGCATCTGACAGTAGGCTAATGTCCACTGTCGGCTGACATCACTGTACTTCTCCTACGGATCACAGGTGTGCAGTTTGTTCTGCACTCCTGTGACCCATTTTTAGCCGACAGCGGGCTAAAGTCCACTGTCACCTGACGTCACTCAGCCAGTCCACGCTGGGGATAGATCCCAATTTTAAAGTTGGGATTCACCCAGATTCCTGGACCAATACCTGGCTCAGCCTCTCAGCTAAGAGCCTGAGCCAGCCGCTCCCTCCCCTCCACAACCTAGTGCTCCAGTGAGTGCTGGGGTGGGGATGGTCAGAGCAGAGAGCGGTGACTGACAGCCACCAGCTCTCTGCTTATGGAGCACTGACAATAGCGTGATCAGCGGTCTTTAAACGCTCAGTTCTTAGTCTTAGAGCCATCGGGGGACTGATGCTGCATCCACCTAGGTAAGTATAATTGTTAAAATAAAACAAACCTCTCTTTTAATCCTTTTTTGCATCTCAGTGCTGCTGATCTCCTCCAACCATTTTGAAGCTATTTTCTTTCACCTTCACTCTCTCTTGTACTTGCTGCACACCATTGCTCAGGACTGTCTTCCTGACTGCAACAATGATAGACCATGCCTATGTAATGTGTGTCTGTGTGGTCATTGGTCCCAACCTGGGGCGCAACCAGGAGGACAATGCAGGAGCATGATTTGGAAACAGTTATCACATCATGCCTAAACAAAGATCTTCATGTCGGGATCAATAGATATCAGGGAATGCTGACAATGGATGGGCCATGAAAGCCTATGGAAGTGTACAATCCAAATGCACATGTTCCTGCATTAAAAATGACTGTGTGTATAAGTGGGTGCTGCAGCGACTGTCGGCTGGAACCGAACAGAATCAGCAAGGGAAAATGTCACCAGCACACCGAGGATCACCAATACGGGTGCAAAAGTTTTAATGAACGATCACATAGTTACAGCAAGGCTTGCTGTAACTATGTGATCGTTCATTAAAACTTGTGGACCCATATTGGTTATCCTAGGTGTGCTGGTGACATTTTCCCTTATGAAAGCCTATGGGTGACATCATCCAGGTCTTACCAGGTGCTGTCACTCACTTTCTCCTCTCCCCTGCAGCTGCCACTAGCTGACAACTGAAGCAGGCTGAAAATAGGTAAGTATATGCATCTTTTGTACACAGGTTAGTCAGTATAGCTGCTAGGAAGAGGGTAGGGACATTTAAGACTAGTTAGGTTTAAACTGAAATATACTACTATAATGAAAGCTGTTGATTTAAAACATTAAAAACTATTTTTAAAAATGACATTGACCTGTTACTGATTCAGGTTAGATCTTTAATGAGAATGTACAAAGTGTAGTATGCAGTAACTTAAAGTAACCAACCTAATTTCATTTCTAAATAAGAAGGAAAGAATCACACGCAAACAGGCATTAAAGGACAAGCATGAGCACATTAAAAAACAAACTTTTATACTCACCTCACTGCTGCAACATCAGTCCAGTCCTGAAGCTCTCCCCAGCTGGCTCTAAACCCGAGAACTGAGTGAGGACATGACCACTGATTACTTAGTTCCCAGTTGGCTCTGAGCAGAGAGTAGTAACTGAGAAAGCAGCACACTGAGAGGCTCAGCCAGCTGTTGGTCAGACATCTGGGTGGATCCTGACATTATTGTCAGGTTACATCCAGAGACTGAAGCAGCTCTGTGAGATCAGCCGACAGCGGACTTTTACGCGCTGTCAGCTGATTCTGAGTAACAGAAGGGCACAACTAAGTGCATTACTGTGATCCGGAAGAGAAATATGGCCAAAACTTTTTTGGCTTTACTTCTTTTCTGGATCACAGGAATGCATTTAGCTGTGCTCTTCTGATGTCATGTCTTTTAACTTTTTTTTATTTAAAGTGTAGCTCCAGTCTCAAAAATTGTAGCTGCTGACTGCTGCATCTAACCATCAGGGGCGGACTGACTATTTGGAAACTTGGGCACTGCCCGAGGGCCCGAGGTCAGTAGGGGGCCCCATGAGATGCCCCTGGTACCTTTTTCATAGGCTTTTTTGAGTTTGGGCAAGGACAATGATGCCCGGGGGCCCCATGAGTTGTCAGTCCGCCCCTGTGTCCTACGCTCCAGTTATGTGCTCATCAAATCCGGGTTCACTAGCCATCCTGTGTCCCCAGCTACGGCATCTTAAGTGTAGGCACCCGGCTGTGACGGCTTGCTGATTCATAATCGGGTGCCCACTCTGCATGCGAGAGCAGCACTGCACATTGTGAATGGTCCTGCAGTCTTCATGGATCTGTTATGTGTCCCAGAAGACTGCAAGGGGGAGGGTGGGGAGGAGAAGCAAAAGTGGGAGTGGGTACCTGTCAAAATCGTGTACCTGCTCCCCAAAGGTGCCAATCCTTAGTGGGGGACGAGGCCTTAAAGCGGAACTTCCCCTTTTGGGTGGAGCTCCACTTTAACTATACTATAAAGAAATATGATTGACTTCTTTGGCTTGCTGAACTTTTTAGATGTAGACACTGATCTTTTCACTGCCTTACAAAATTAGGGTTTACCCAAAATGGTCCAGAGATGTTGGTCAAAGGACACATAGCAAGAGGAAAAAAAATGTTGCATGTATTTTAGTGCTGCCATATGCTTCTGCCCTAGGCATAGGCCAACTAGTAGATTAGCATATAAAGCCCTAGGGAATCCAGAGCAAAAATTGGTACTGGGATCCATTCCTACCTTGGCTCATAATTGATTAGAACAGAGTAGGAAGCTAGCTATCTCATCGTATTCAATTGTTCCTCAATTACTAATCAGAGCAGCTTGGCTTCTGCCAAAATGAGCATTTTTCATCTAATGCACTGCTAGAACTGTGAAGATTGTATGGGCTATGATTTGAAATTAGCTTTCCATTTGGCTTCATGGCTACTAGCAATCACAGTCAGGATTCTTTCATAATTTATGCTGCACCTCCTATACACCTTGCAGAGAGAACTACTGCCTGGAGCAAAAGGTAAAAAATAAAGGTATTTAGTAAAATGGCACTTAGGGGCTTTAAAATAGATGTCACTAATGAAAGGTATGAACTTTTCACTGTAAATACAAAAACCTATCAAACAGCCCTCCCTATGCTATATATCAATTGTGCCCCAGGCAGACTTTTTCTCTGCCTGCATGTTGTTCAAGCACTACTAAACAGCTACAAATTTCTTTTGGTTGGCTCCAGAATAAACTTTAGACGTCTTGGTGATATCAATGACTGCAAGAAAAAGTATACCAGATTCGAGAATCTGTTCAATAAAGATAGCAACCAATAAAAAAATTGTTTGACCAGCCTGCATCTATATGGGAAAACTGCACAATGACATCCCCACAATGATGTACTAGGATTACTGCACTTGAGCATGATAGCGAGCATATACCGTATTAATTTAGCTAAACAAATTTCTGCTCACAAACTAACCCTTTCATTTTCTTCATGGAAAAAACTGAACTGAATTACTTAATACCAGATTTCATGTCAGAGCTGTATACTGTATATAAACAGCCGCGGGAAGTAAATGAAAACATGCATTTTTCTCTGATGCATTCTAAAAAAAAAAAAGGTACGTGTTCTTTTCAATAGTAAGCTCAGGAAATATGTGTAATAATAAATAAGAGTATAATTGCCGGGCCAGGAAATATACACTTCATTAGATGCTGAGAAAATGCTCTACAATAAGAAAATAGCTAGTTTGATGAACAAATGGATCTTCTCTGTGATACAAAAATTATGTAGGTTCATAGCAGCAATATGCAAGCAATCCTGAATTGCTCAGGCTTACAAGGAAATAAGTGCCAATATCAATTTCTTGGTAGTTTAGCTAGAGGCTTAACACCTTTTATGTTTGGCCCCAATTTAGTGCACATTTTATGACTTCAGTTTCTTCAGAAATTTGGTGAGACAAAGGAAGCAATTCAAGTAACACAGCAAAGAGAGATCTTCTAAAGGCAGGGTAGAACATCATGTGCCATGGGAAGCCCCCCCTTGAAGATATTCTGACATCCACGGAATCTGATAGTTTGATGGAATAGTCCCTGCCACAGCATAATAATAACATGACTTCCCCATAAGTACCAATATGAGGAGTTAGTGCAAGCCTCCCCAAGTACAACACCTTGTAATGACCCAAGCCTCTCTGAGTACAACAGCTTGTGATGGCCCAAGCCTCCCCAAGTACAACAGCTTGTGATGGCCCAGGCCTCCCCGAGTACAACACCTTGTGATGACCCAAGCCTCCCTGAGTACAACACCTTGTGATTGCCCAGGCCTCCTCGAGTACAACACTTTGTGATGGCCCAAGCCTCCCCATGTAAACCACCTTGTAATGGTCCAAGCCTCCTGAGTATAACACCTTGTGATGGCCCAAGCCTCCCTGAGTACAACAACTTTTGGTGGCCCAAGCCTCCCCAAGTATAACACCTTGTGATGGCCCAGGCCTCCCCAAGTAAAACACCTTGTGATGACCCAAGCCTTCTCGAGTACAACACTTTGTGATGGCCCAGGCCTCCTGGAGTACAACACTTTGTGATGGCCCAAGCCTACCTGAGCAAAACACCTTGTGAAGACCCAAGCCTCCTTGAGTACAACACTTTGTGATGGCCCAAGCCTCCCCAAATATAACACCTTCTGATGGCCCAAGCCACCCCGAGTATAACACTTTGTGATGGCCCAAGCCTCCCCAAGTATAACACTTTGTGATGGCCTAAGCCTCCCTGAGTACAAAAACTTATGGTGGCCCAAGCCTCCCTTAGTACAACACCTTGTGGTAAGTATAAGTATATATACCCTTTTGCTGTGCTCAGCATATATATCCTCCAAAAATTATTAGTGAAAGTCCATAAAGTCCCAGTCATATTCAAAAATTAACACCAAGGGGTTTATTTACTAAAGCTGGAGAGTCCAAAATCAGACTCCCTTCTGCATAGAAACCAATCAGCTTCCAGGTTTCATTGCCAAAGCTTCATTGAACAAGCTGAGGTTAGAAGCTGATTGGTTTCTATGCAGAAGGGAGTCTGATTTTGGACTCTCCAGCTTTAGTAAATAAACCCCCAAGTGTCCATAAATAATCAAGTTACTCAAAAATTCTGATCCAAAAAGAAAAATTCATAAATCCTTCTGCCGAGCCCACCGAATGGCTCAAAAGAAGGTGTTAACCTCAAAACAAGAAAAACTCAATAGTGCATTACCCTTGATTAAAATAAATCGTAAATAATGTAGCATATCACTCCAAATAGAAACGTGCCCACATACGTGATTGTGAACACTTGTGGAAAACAGTGATAGTGTAACACACCGTGAATCAATGTTTCTATGCAAATATACTTTCCCGTGGCATTCAGTGTGCACTTCTAAAGTGTCTGAATTAAATACCCTTACCAAATAAGTAATAAAGCACACTTTACTCCAGCAGAGGGTATATGTAGCATTGTCCACATGGATGCCTTCAAAACCTCAGTGCATATACTCCATTGTACCTATCTGGAGTGATTAGTGCGCATATGTTACATTTTTTATGATTTATTTCAATCAAGGGTAATGCACTATTGAGTTTTTCTGGTTTCGAGGTTTACGCCTTCTTTAGAGCCATTCGGAGGGCTCGGCAGAAAGATTTATGAATTTTTCTTTTTGGATTGGAATTTGAGTGACTTGATTATTTATGGACACTTGGTGTTCATTTTTGAATAAGACTGGGACTTTATGGACTTGCACTAATAATTTTTGCAGGATATATATGTTGAGCACAGCAAAAGGGTTTATATATTTATTTTACTTTCAAGGGTGAAAGGAAGACCTTTTATAGGCTTACGGGTGTAAGAATTATAGTTTGGGATACTGAATTTAATTAACACCTTGTGATGGCCTAAGCCTCCTCGAGTACAACACCTTGTGA